AATGAAAGCCTTTGTCTTACAATCTGATAGTTTCAAAATGAAATTTTCATACTAACAGAGTTAATGAAGATGTAAATATGCACCTAATATCTTCAACGAAATGAATGCACTGTATCTTTAACAGCCTAAAGACATGAAAGTTCTTCTACAAGGTTTCAGTAAACGAAAGGAAAAATCATTAAAGCTTCTGTGGTCATCACAGAAAAAAAAAAACAATCAACAAACTGATCAATACTGCAATCAGACGCTTCTTTGACATCATGACCATGACTAGGAAAGGCCACTCTGTCCTCTGTCAGGTCATCTAAGCCAGCCCTAATTTGCCTCTCTTCTATTTAAAATGTCCAATAAAAACAACTTTAACAGTAAAATGAATTCAGAAAATCAGTGATAAGCTAAACGTGACGTACGGAATCACGACTGCCGGAACAAAATGCCGGAGTGCTGGAGCAACAACTTCCTGATTGAGTTCAGACTGTTTGCTCTCCCTAACTCGGCACAGCACTGACCTACAGCCACAAACACGGAGTCAAACTCAGCAGCAGAACCAATTAAAATCTCCATTTCAAAGTGAAAGTGAGAGGCCTGACTGAGCTCACTAATCCACTAACTGCAAGCTAATGCTCTTACCGTCTTAGTTTATCTTACCACACTGTGAAATTTCCTAATGTCAGTTGCAATAGTTGCCACCTCACTAAGCTAAGATCTGATGATCTTCAGAGATGTGAGCTAGTAAAGCACTCGTTACGTTAGTATTCAGTTCTTTGTTGAGTATTTAGAAAGATTACACTAAATTTTATCAGACAGAGACAGAGAAGTTGTTAACATATAGAAAATAGTACAAATAAAGAAACTGGTGTAACTGGTTTGGTTGAAGGCATCATAACTTAAAGGCACATTATTTTGCCCTACAGACGGCCACTAATGCTGCTAGCACAGAGACGCACACAATAAAGAAATGACAGGGTGTAGGAGCACTTTAAATTGTTAATTATTTAATTAACACAATTAGAAAAATGTTCAGTGCAAAAATTTGCATTAGGAGGCTGGCACACCATGGAAGCAAAGTTTGATTAATTATCTCAAATATGTGAATATATAAGTCACACGCTTAATCCGACGCATCAGCTCCATCAGCTGATAACAGCTCGTTTTCTCGCTTTTCTTTTCTAGTTAGATGGTTTTATAGCATGTTTAAAACATGACAGCACAGAAAACAGACCCTATTTTTACTAGGGATGTTTTACTCAGTTCTTGAGATGGTACTATTCAAACACTGGAATCACTGTCTGAGTGTTCGAGAAAATGTACAGACCAACAATCCAGTCAAATGTCAATTTGTATAACTTACATATGTTCACTCTTATTGAAGTGGAGAACGCAACAAGCTTTCTGCTCATCCCCTCACAGACTGAAGGGATCTTTCGGTGACAGTGAGAAACTCTATAACCCCCTCTTTCAATTGGATTGTGATTGGTTCCTAGTCGCCTCACGGTTGTAAAAATATGGCGCTTTGAAACCGGATTAATCTTTTTGAATCACCCTGTATATAAGATATGGATAGAAGATGTACAAGATGTCAGTCTATATTTGCAGGCATAGATTTGCTAGATTGAAATCACAGTAAGATAGAGTGAGTGTTTCCAAAGACGCATTCTTAGGGTTTAGATATCGTAATTTTATTGCAGGCTAGGCTAGGGTCAAGATAAAGCTCTAGGACAAGAAACTATGAAAATATCTCTTTCTTTGATAGATATGTTGGCTGAGGAGAAAAGACCACTTAGAAGATGACCTTATCAGCATCCAGCATTGGACTGGTTAGCTGTAGTTTTGGCTCATTAGGGCACCTTCTATAAGCCAACCAACACGACAACCTACCAATCTCCCTCTGCCATTCCTGAATACTTGAACATTTTAAACGAGTATCTCTGTGTGCTGTTTTTAGTGCAACACCAGTGCTGCCACCTAAAAAGGTCTACTAAGCCAATTGCTCCACACTAGTGTAAGGTTTAGTGCTGTTTTTTCCTTCTCTGTTGTTAACAGATTATCTGTTCGTTAATCCTTACAGATATTCAATTATCAAAATTAGTCAGCATGCACAGCGCTAGTTTACACAGCTGCTGGTATTGGAGTAGGGCTACATTGCTGGAGCTGCTCCACAACTACTAGTGTTGCACCGATCCTGATACTGTATGAGTTAAACTTAGTATCGGTACCGGTGATGGGGATACCGATACCTATGACAGACACCACAAAGCAACTTCTGGTGCGTGCATGTGCACCAGTAGGCAGAACTTGACAACATGTCTGCGGTGTAAAGCAGTAAAAATGCTCACGGCTGAATCTGTAACAGCATTCTGGACATTCTGGGTGTAATGATAGCATTAAGCCTCGATTTAGCCTTTAGCACAGCAGCCCGCAAGCCAGGCCTGTGCGTCCACTAACCCTGCCTGCGGTGCGCCTCCGTAGGTCGGCTGTATCACTCAGCAAAAACCACTGAAAATTACTTAAACCGACAGCGTTGACGATGACGTTTACTGAACCGATGCTCATCCAACATGTAAATGCCATTTAGCCAAGCTGAGTGTGTTTTCTTTGTGATGCGGAACACAGATTTTACCAAAATAAAATATTTAAAATGTCATAGTATAATTATCAGGACTTAGACGCAATTTAGATTAGATAGAGTTAGTATGAGTACTCAGTATGGGCTGATACAAAAGGTCCAGGTATCGGAATCAGTATCGAAAGGGAAAAAGTGGTATCGGTGCATCTCTAACAACTAATACTGTTATTTTAAATACAGTTTAAAGTTCAGCAAACACTATAGCCCACAACAGTGTTTCCCAGCTGCAGTCCTGGACGCCCACCTGCACAGCACGGTTTCATTTTCATGCATTCTCTGCTTTCACCGGCTATGATCAAGTCCTTTATGAAGCATTTAAGACGAGGGAAAACACTTCACTTTTAAATAAAGGTTAGAACAGTGTAAAAGTGGGAGTGTGTGATTTGATTGGATGTCTATGAAGTTTACACTTCACTCGCACACAGGTGAAAAAACAGGCTGGTATTTGGACAGGTGTGACATGTGGTGTCTAGCGCAGATGCTGTGACTGAAACGTTGATTAAAACAGTATCTGTTTTGTTAGACGGATGAATAAAATGTCTAAAAATGGATCAAATCTTACTGTTTTTAAGGGTAGTTTTCAGAATGAGTATTCGAGTACTCAAGCTAAAATATCAAAGAGTACTGGAAGCCTGTAAGGTGCCAAACATTGACAGTCAGGTGAGAAGGTTTGCTGTGATATTGCTATATTTTAACCATATCATACGGTGCCCTCCACAAATATTGGCACCCCTGGTAAACATGAGCAAAACAGGCTGTTAAAACATTCTTTATTGCTAATTCTTCTAAGCTTTCATTCAAAATACTAACAAAATCTAGCTTTTATTTGAAGTACAATGATCAAAAAACTAAATCTTATCAGGAAATAATGAGTTCCTCCACACAGAACCTCTCCAGAACCTTCAGATTCAGAGCTCCACACTGTGGGCTCTTCAGATCATCCCACAGGTTTTCCACGGGGTTTAGGTCAGGGGACCGGGGTGGTCCTTTTTATCATTATACTTTAAATAAAGCTTAGATTTTTGCTTATATTTTCAATAAAAGATAAAAAAATAAGTAATTAAAAATATGTTTTGCAGCTCATTTTGCTCATAATTAACCAGAGGTGCCAATATTCGTGGAGTGCTGAAAGTCAGTTTTAGTTAGTCAGTCAGTGGCCCACTTTTTCAAGTTAGATTCCGTTGTTTTTGTCAGTCAGTCAGCCACTGTTCCACTAGCACAGGGCTTTTCGACCATCTCAACCCCCTGGTGGCCCTCAGGCCAAAATAGAGTGGTCCATACTGGGCCCGTGAAGGCAGTTTGCCATGAAATAAAAAAAAGAACTGACTTAACGATAAAAAGAATAAAATGTTTCCCAATGGTAAACAATAATACGAGGCCTGCAAAAACAGAGCACAAATGATTTGTCAATTTTTCACCTCTTGACTCTAAAAACCAAATATTCTCCTCCCAAAAAAAAGAAACTGTGGTAGGAACATACATTTCCCAAAAATTAAGTGTTCAAGTAAAAAATGGCTGAGTGACAAAGTGACAAACAAGTGGGCCTTGAGGTGGGAAAGGCTGAGAACCCCTGCACTAGCACACTTTCAACAGAACAAGAAGCTGCCGTACTAGAAGCGACTTCAGCCTTGTAAAAAGTCGAAGATTGAAAGATTTCAAAAGAAACTATTCCACCTCTGAGGAAAAGTTTCCTGCCGGAGATGCGAGAAAAGTGAGTATAGCTGAGCTTAAAAGCACCCAGTTAGTCTGCATTTCTATATATTAGCCTATACTAGGACATCAGCACATACTGAGACATATTTACAGCCAAGATGGTAAAAATGAATAATTAATAAAATGGATATAAAATGTTGTGGCTCCCAAGGTGGTTTGAATTTTGTTCAAGGGACAAAATGGCTCTTCTCAGCATTTGGGTTGGGACCCCTGCCCTACCTCTTTTGGAACTGTGGCACCACCCCTCCAAGGAGTTATGCATGGTGGCAGAAACTGACAGCACTTTAATTCACTTATTCCTTTCTTACACTGGTCAGGGTGACTGTGCAGTGCACCTATTCTCATATAAGAAGAGCGTCAGTACCTGTCAATGATTTAGAGCCTTGAAAGGTCATACAGTATTAAGTATGACATAAAACAACGAACAGAATATCGAAGACAACAGCCCACACAAAAGGACCCTTATCACTTTAAACAGAATCTTGCAATAGTCCTTCCCAGATCCTAAACAAGAAAAAACAAGAATCTACCACACATTCTCATTGATTGACCCCAAACACATTGCTCTTCTGCAGCCACGTGGTTGCAATCTCTGAGCATTGCACCCTGAGGCTATACATGCACTGGGGGACGGGAACTGGGAGTATGATAAAGCTCTCACCTCTCGTCCTGTAAGGACGTGCCGAGCCAGCTTGACTTTGGCGAAGTTGCCCTTGCCGATGGTCTTCAGCAGGCGGTAGTTGCCGACGTGAGGGTGCTCGTCCACGCTGGAGCTCAGAGAGTTCCTGCATCGCGGGAGGCTTTGTCGGCTGGCCGATTTGGCGGGTGGTACGGGCACTTCCGGAAAACCGTCCAGGGAGGTGTGCTGGAAAAGAGCCGCACAGGCCGAGAGAAGAGGGAGCGCAGTTAGGACCTGGAGAGAGACTGCTTAGTCACTGACGTATTGCTGACACACACAGGTTCACACGCTGAGCTGCTCTTTGCAGCGGTTATCCTTCGCACTACTGAGAAAGTGGCCGCTGGGTAGGCTTTGAATCTGGAAATGCGATCCAGTGAGTGCTGTTTTAGCCTCAAACCCTTTCTGCCAATCCAAGCTGTGTAGTGGAGAGACAATGGTGTCCTGTTCCTGATCTAGAACATTATACCTCGGTTCATAAAAAGACCTACCATAGGCAAAACGTGCATGAATAAACATCGACAAGGTAGTTATATTTCAGTGTAGTACGTGTTTATGTACTTCACCACAAGTGTCCCAGGGCAGGTTCAGAGAGTTTTCGAGCGTATTTTGTCGACCATCATATACGGCAAATGTAATCAAGTGGGAATGCAAAACACCACTGCGGGATTTATTGCATAACACAGTTTGGAGAGCAGATAGTCATCTTGACTGAGCGCTCGCTACGTGCACTCTGCAGGAGTGAGAGGAATGGCCCATACACAAGGTAGACTGTTATATGTGAGGGGCTTGTGGGGAAAATTAGGCCCTAAATAGAAAAGCATTATTAGAATCTGGCTCCACTTTGGTTGACAAAGTCTTCTCTTTCGGATTACTGTGTGGAAACAAATGCAGTAAACTCAACCATGTGAAGGGACTGTTTACACTTATTTGAAACAAACAAACAAACAAACAAACAAACAAATAAATAAACTCAACGCTTTTTCATCCCACCCCTGGCACTGAAGCAGACCTGGAAGCAAACACAGTGACAGCATTCAGGTTAGTCTGTTTACCTTTATTTGGATTGTCCACCATTGTCCCCTATAGATTATCTACAGATGGCTTTAGGGTTAGGATTTGGACCAGGGTTAGAGCTAGGATGGGTGAGGGTATAGGTTTTGGGTTGAGGTTAAGGTTAGGTTTAGGATTAGAGCCAGGTTTAGAGTTAAAGAAAACTATGGTCAGTTTAGTAGATATTTACAAAGCTTCTAAAGTGGACTATCCAAATAAAGTGTTACCGATTTATCCTGACATACTAACAGCGCAGTCATGGAGGCTATAGCATTTTCATGTCTTTCCTCCAATAATGAGGTATGACCAAGTTCTTCGTGGGCTGAATCAAGCGTGTTCAAAAGTGAGTGAACCTCCAGGACTGAAGTTGGGAAAACGTCTAAGGATCCAAGAACGTCCAGCTGATGCTTGTTTCCTTACTTACATTAGCCAACAACAGGAAGAGGCCAGCGCAGCTTGGTGATTTCTCTGGTTAAATACATCTAATAAACCTGGTAACTACTGCTGAATTCAATTACCACACTGTGCTGGACCAGAGACTGCGATTAGAGAAAAGCACTCTTGTTTTTATCAGCTGAAATTGAAGCAAGAATGACTTACCAATTCTATACAATACTGCATTTCTATATGATAAATTCTGTGGTCACTCATTATTTTCTGATAATGATGGCTGAAGTCAGATCGCATTTTCACAGCAACTAATACGACTACGCAACATTGACATACAATGCGACGTTTGGGGCTCAGGAGTGGCGCAACCCTCTAATTAGAGACGACTAAATTGGGGAGAAAACTGGGTAAAAAAAAAAGCTGTTGGATATCATGACAATACGAGAGGTGACAAATTACTACTAAAATAATGTGACAAAAGACATGAAATACTAACAACTACTTACATCACTTACAACATTTTTTGTGCACTGAAGGGCTGAGAAACAGTCAGCATTACTTCAACAATTTTTACTATAAAGGCTACAAAATCAAATAAATATATATAAAACATTGTTACTAGTTATTATTTTTATTATAGTGCCTAATTATTAGTTATTAAATAATGTAGTATCAGACATGCAAGGTTGTATTTAGTTTAAAAATAACATTGTTCTTGCTTTTAGTTGTAGTTAGGCTTGTTTTCATGTGGGTCCTACACTCTTATTTTGAAGGACTCAAAATAATACTGGGGGTCGTAAGGTAGGGAACTGAGTTTTGGGGACATTTTAAGGTCTCAGAGTGTGCTTTTTGTAGTTGGCTGTTTAGCCTAATGGTTAAGTCACTCGTGGGAGAGCAGGTTTAGTCCCAGCACAGAGAAGACGGCTTGGAACAGTTTGTGCTGGTAATGTAATGACGTCTCTCTGGCGCTCTGTGTATTAGGTAATTAGATCTGTTCTGTCATCGCTCTAACATTGTGTTTATCGCGAAAACTCATATCGTGACAATGATAACAATATAATTTATCGTGCAGCCCTGGCAAATAATGATACCATTCCACACGAAATGCGGCCGATATTACAGAACAAAAACTGCTCACTGTGTGAGTGAAACATCTAGAGAACAGGCCAAAAGCTGGGCTGACTTGCCGCTTCCGTGAAAAAAAGCAATGGGAAAGAAGTGCATACTGGAAATTCTGCTCTTGCAAAAGCATTACAGGAGCTGACAGTCCCAAACAACTACAGGAGCAAAGGGGAAAATCCAATAACAGTCTGAAATTCAGGCTGAAATACCGTGATGTTATCTGATCCAACCGTACAAATGGGGTAAACTGCATTACAAAGAGACTGAAGCTGAACACCTGATGCTATACACTGCAGTGGAACTGTCTAAGTGCTCTGGGACTCCAGTCTCCAATAATGGCAGCCTGAGTGTTCAAGTGTGGACTTGCCCAAACGTAGAATGCTACAGTGAGAGAGAAGGGAATGAGTTATGACTTAACCACATCTGGGCAGAGAGAGTAGAGATAAAGCAGAAGTAAAGGCCCAGTGGAAAAGGCTAGTTTCACAAAAAGACCTCAGAGTTCAAAACTTCGCCCTTTTTGAGGGATGCAACTGCCGTAATTTGATTTCAGACTAATCAGCGGTTTTGCCTCCGCCGCCGTAACCTGAGGGGAAAAGAAACTGAGCTGAAGAGGCGGAATGCTACGCTGCACAGGCCTGTCGAACAGCAGAGCCCATGCTGGGATGGATGAGTCCAGGTTGGATCCCCGTGGTGCCCAACTGTAGAAGCGGTGGTACAGGCTGGAAGATAAACAAGATCGGCCTGCTTCTGCCAGAAGAACCGCCAGGGCAGCTGCTCCCATCCGTCTGGCCGCTCTGCCCTCGGCTGCCACACCCACAGAACAAAACCTGGGTCGGGTTACGGCACCGCTGTCACAATCCTGTTGCGTTGTAACGCTACACCTAGCAGTGCGCCGCAAATATCTGCATCTCAGCTACAATCCTGTAGCGTAGAATGCAGAGTAAGTTCAAGAGGACGTGCGTAGTAGTGTGTGTGATACGACGCAGGTAGAGGGGTGGCTGTCAAAATATATGCGGGTATGTGTCTCGTTGACGTGTGCATATCTGACCCTTTGTTATGAGATGCATACCAGCGCTGGTGGGTATGTGAGCGAAAGAAAGATTTAGAGAGAACGAGACACAGTGTGTCTGTGATGACAGTGAAACATGAGATTGCACGGCTTCCTCTGGGAGGATTAATAGCCTCTGACAATAGAGAGAGAGAGAGAGAGAGAGAGAGACAGACAGAGAGATCAGATTTAATGCAGGAAAGTCCCTGCGTCGGTATAAATCAGCACAGTCAGCTATTAATGCTAATATCCCAACGCTAATGGCCCTGAGCGAGCCGGTGACATTAACACATAACACCAGGCACCTTCAGAGCTGTTACGTTCTCCACTAGAGGACCATAAATCACACCGAGGCAGGTACACAGAGGTTCCTGTATCTTAAACCTGTATCTTAATGATACTCAGTCAGGCTTAAGTAACGCCCAGGGACTTTAAGGTATTAAGGTAAACGTTTTCCGGATGGGATTTATACACTCTTGGTTACATTAGGGGCAACGAACATATGGCCTGTCCTCACAAATGTCACGTATAACTCAGTATAGAGTAGAGAATGGGCACATTTAAGGGTTTCCAAGGTCACTTTGAGGGTCTACTTTAACACATCATCCCTCCTGCCAAACGACACGTTTAAACGTCCGAGCCGACGAGGAAGAACTAGCGCCAACTAAGGGCGACTGATGGCGATACAGCCGAAATGTGGCTGCATGAAAGGCAGCAACTCTCTACAGGAGCTGGCAGTAACCTGTAAAACAGCAACACAGAAAACAGCTTCTAATTTAAATGTAATAAATGTCTTACAAGCATAAATATGTCCATTTTTAATCTATAGCTAGTGTGTGAAAGTAAAAGTAAGCCATTGTTAGCTTGGCACCAACATAAAAACTCATTAAAATAAGAAAGGCTACTTAAAAGCGAACGTACATTAAATAGTTTATTTAATTTAATGCATAATTCACACAATAAATGCATGGCTGGCGCGTGTTCATAATAAAAATAATAATAAAAAGTCCAAAGACCGGTGGTGACCGCGTCCAGCAGCCCACAGTCAGCTCGGTGTTCCAACCCTTTACAGACTAGCTATAGATACACACAAAAAATGATGGTTCACCAAGAGTTCTTTAGTAAAGAAAACAGTTCTAAATAGAACCATGAACACTCACAGAAGCCCTAGCATGATTCTTTGCATCCTGAAAGGGATCTTCAGAATGTGCTGTAGACGGTTCTATATAAAACCATTCTGAAATGGGTTTTGTATAGCACCAAAAAAGGTTCTTCTATAGATACACGCTTGACATCGTAACAATAGTAGAACCCTTTTTGATACTAACAAGAACCCTGTTCATTAACAGCTGTAACACAAATATCTACCAAGACCTTTGAGTGTAATCAGACACCCAAGCATTCATGTTCGCCACAGTTTGGACTGGATGAGCTCAAGGAGCTTCACTGTAAGAGCACAGCTTTGTGGTAACGTATCTCTTGGAGATCAAACAGCATATCACCAATAACTGACCTGCTGATGTAAACCGAGTCCAGTCCTGGTCATCCGCTAGGGCTGCAACTGCTTTCAGTGGAG